AGAAAGAAAGAAAGAAAGAAAGAAAGAAAGAAAGAAAGAAAGAAAGACAAACATTTGCTGAACTACACAGATGGCTGAGGGCTGAGAATAAATCGCTGACATCGTTTGGACCAAAAATTGCTCATCTGTGGGGCACCTGGGGGGCTCAGTCAGTTGAGTGTCCGACTTCGGCTCAGGTCATGATCTCACAGTTCACGAGTTCGAGCCCTGCATCAGGCTCTGTGTTGACAGCTCAGAGCCTGGAGCCTGCTTCGGATTCTGTGTCTCCCTCCCTCTCTCTCTGCCCCTCCCCGGCTCATGTGTGTGCTCTCTCTCTCTCTCTCTCAAAAATAAATAAACATTAAAAAACCTTAAAAATTAGGGCACCTGGGTGGCTCAGTCGGTTGAGCGTCCGACTTCGGCTCAGGTCAGGATCTCGCAGTTTGTGAGTTGGAGCCCCACGTCGGGCTCTGTGCCGACAGCTCGGAGCCTGGAGCTGCTTCTGATTCTGTGTCTCCCTCTCTCTCCACCCCTCCTCTGCTCATGCTCTCTCTCTCTCTCTGTCTCTCAAAAATGAATAAACGTTAAAGAAAATTTTTGTAATGAAAAAACTTTAAAAATTGCTCATCTGAACCCACCTGGTCATTAAGCAAAACTGAGTCCAACCCACATGGACAGAGCCACCAGGGAGGAGAAGGGATTGCTAGAAGCGGGCCCTTGGCTGACACCTTGTCCACAGGCCCGTCGTCAGGCTGCGGTTCAGGGACGCCATCCCAGAGCCTCCTCGGGCCTCCCACCCGCTCACGGGTGGTTAGCTGGGGCCTCCGACACCCCCAGGTGCTGCCCGAGTCTCGCTGGAAGGAGCCCGCGGTCCTCAGGGCCGAGGGCGGCTCTGAGGCTCTCGCCGTCCAGCCAGCCTGCAGGGAGAACCCCTTTATACTGATGGTGGAGGTTTCCGGGGGCCGCTTCCGGTTCTGGGCTGTCCGGGAGAGACACGGATCCCGGAGACCCTCACTGGGAAGCTCAGCTCAGCCCCGGCATCAGCGTCCTGCCATTCAGAACTCGTCGTCGCCCGTCTCTTCCAGCTTCTGGCTGCAATCCTGGGCGTGGGTCCTGAGTGACCACCCCTCCCTACTAGGTGTGGAAACTCAGGGCGCAGGTGGTTTGGGAATCCGGTGCCCACGGCATGCGTAAACCTAATACAGAAGCAGCCGTCCCCACTGTCTTACGCATTAGAGTCGCCAAAGAGAAAAGGGGCTCAGAGAGGTTGAGGAAGCTGCCCAGGGCCCACGTGCGATCGACTATACCCCACTCCTTCAAGCCCAGTGAGGTTCAAAACCACGGTGGCTTGTGCGGGATGAAACACCTACTGTGCGCACGCACCGGGCTTTGGGCGCCCCGCTGATCTCGTGCAGTCTTCCCCTCTGAGCATCTCTGTCCCCGCTTTGTTACGGGTCGCATCGGGCCCCCCCAGAAGGTACATTTAGGTCTTGACCCCGAATTCTCCCAGCTCCTCAGAGTGTGACCCTCCTTGGAAACAGGGTCGTTGCCGATGGCATCAGCCGAGGGACAGTCAGGCCACACTGGCCCAGGGTGGGCCCCCTCGTCCAATCACCCCGCTGTCCTTGTCGGAAGATGACCTCGTGAAGACCCAGACGCAGAGAGGCACGTGATGGTGGAGGTGGAGGTGGGAGTGACACGGCCATCTTGCCAGGGAAGCCACAGGACTGCTGGCAAAGCACCCAGAGCCTGGGAGAGGAGAGGAAGGAGCCCCTGCAGGCCCCGGGGGGGGGGGGGGGAGCGTGGCCCCGAGACACCCTGCTTTGGGCCTCCAGAAGCGCAAGACAATACATTTCTCTGGTTCTAAGTGACCGGATCCGTGGCACTTTGCCACGTCAGGACACCAGCTCAGAGAAGACGGCCCCGGGCCTTGGAAACGAGTCTAGATGGTGCCGGGTCACATCCTGGGATGGGTCAGAGCCCACCTGCCGACAGGCTGACTCCCATCCTTGTTGCTCGCCATGTCTGGCCATGTTGCTGGAGCTGCTAAACCCACGCCAGCCGTTGAGTTTCTGGCTACGGCGGGTCCCGACACATCGGCTTCATCGTTAAGGGCGGTGGAGTTGAGGCTCCACAGTGTGGCCAACCCCAGCCTCCTGGTTCACGTGTGGCCCAGCGAGCCCCGGCCTTCTAATAAAGCCTTGAATCCGCAGAATCAAGGTCACTGGGTCCCCGGCACCCACGGGCTTTCCCATCAGCTAAGCATCTACTTCAGGGGCCTCCTAGATTTGACCTTTCCTGTCTGGGCTCGGTTGGCACGGGACATCTGGAGTCGGGAACGCGTGCAGGCCCGCTGGACCCCGGAGCTTCGCCAGAGCTCATTCTCCGGCTCCCTCCGCAATGATCTGTCTTCTCGAGGAATTTCCCCACCTGTCTGTGGCCCCGGCACAGGGAGTGTCAGAGGTAAGGCGCCTCAGAGGCAAGGAGCAAGAAGAAACACGCTTTATTGGTAGAGGCCCAAGGAGTCAGGAGGCTGCCGGCCAGGAAAGGCATCCTCATTTCTGGAATATTCTTGGGGAGTCCGGCGGCGGTGGGACAAAAACCACAGTGACTCCACGGGCGCCTCTCAGCAGGATCACAGACCCGAGGGGGCCGCACACATTCTTATGCGTGCAAAACAAAACAGGTCCCTGGGGCGGAAGGAAGCAGCGGGCCCCCGGCCATCCCAGCGACGATGCTCGGTTTCGCGGAGCAGGGCGTCCAGACGGGGCTCCTGTGCCGCGCACGCGGGCCACCGCTGCTTCACAGGGACCCCGCCACACTTGGATCGGCGCGCGACATCTGGGTTTTCTTGCATTTTTCTAGTTTACGATCGCAGGTGCATTATACGCTTGCCAGAACAAGTCAGGCGACCGAAACGCGCACGGAGCAAGCTGGTGCATCCCTCGCCGCCTCCTACCCGGCTACCGGTCCGCACCCCTTCTCTGCGGCCCCACAAACACCGCTTGCGCCCCCCCCCCCGCCCCCGCCAAAGCGACCGTGCAATAGGCGCCATTCAAAACCGTTTTCCCTTAAAAACCCGCAGCGGCATCTCTCCGCATCCGTCCACGTGGCTCCCACTTGTGACTCTCGGTAGCGGCAGATGTTCGCGACATTCCCCGTGTCCGGATAACATTTAGGTTGTTTCGGGTGTTTCGGTTTTTCGGTCTGGGGTTTTTTTAACCACAAATCACCCTGCCATCCACATCTATGTGTGCGGGTGTGAGACCCAAAACATCCACCCCCTGTAATTGGCCGGGGTACCACCCCATCTGATGGAGGCAGCCCCCAACCCCCCGGGGCGGATGGGGGGCAGTGGGCAGCCAGAGAAGGACAAGCCGGAGGAGAGACACGCGGGTGGCCACGTTCCCACGCTTTTATTTCTCTAAGATCCGTTCGCACAGCGGCCATTGCTGGGTTAAGGGGTGCACACTTTCCTTTGAATATAAGTCGCTAGACTATTTTTTTTCCGCAAACGAGGATACAAAGACCTCACGGTGCCCGGTGTGCGGGAAGGGGGTGGGGCTGAGAGGGTCAAGGGCCCCAGCGGGACACGAGCTGTGGATTGTGCCCACGGAGCAGGAAGCAGCTTTCTTTGCAAAGATGGGTGGTGTATTAGCCGCGTAGAGGACGGCAAGGCCTACGCGGTGAAGGGTCCCCTCCAGCCACTCACGTGCCACCCGGTGGGGGGGGGTCACACAGGGGCCAGCCCAGCCAGTGCCCGAGGACAATGCTGTGTTTGTCACAGTTAATTGCTGTTTAGAGTCTTTGGATCCTTTCAAATGGGCTGCTGCAAATTCCTTATCGGTATGTATTTGAAAGGATGCCGTGAGCCCAAAAAGTTTGGGAGCCGTGTTCTAGGTCAGCCCTGCATGATGGAAATATACAGCAAGCCACATTTAAAAATTTCCAGTAATCCCATTTTATTTTATTAAAAAAAATGTTTTTAACATTTATTTATTTTTGAGACAGAGCATGAACGGGGGAGGGTCAGAGAGAGAGGGAGACACAGAATCGGAAACAGGCTCCAGGCTCTGAGCCATCAGCCCAGAGCCCGACGCGGGGCTCGAACTCACGGACCGCGAGATCATGACCTGAGCCGAAGTCGGACGCTTAACCGACTGAGCCACCCGGGTGCCCCTCCAGTAATCCCATTTTAAAAAGAAAAAGAAAAAGCAAAAAGAAACAGGTGATATTAACTTTAAGGATATGTTTAATTTAACACGATGTATTCAAAATGTTAGCCTGTCAACATGGAAGCAAATTATTGATGTTTTCACTTTCTTTGTAAATACCAAGCCTCTGAAGTCCACTGTGTGTCTTACAATTGCTTCAGGGCTCTCTTCCGACCAGCACATTTCACGTTGCCATAGTGGACAGTTCTAGAAGCTTCTGGGGTTAGAAGACAGCCACATCCATCCCTTCAGCGTGCATTTACTGAGAAGCTGCGATCTGCTGCACGGGTTTCGGGTGCGAGAAGGAAAGTCACCTTCTCTGTCTCCCCGGGGGTTGGTGTGCCTGTGACAGGGTAAGTGACCCCGCGGCCCCATGAACCCCGGCTGGGTGCTCCCAGCACCCACTGACAAGCTTCCACAGTGGGAGGGAAGGTCCCCGTCACCCCCAAAAGAGATCAGTTATCGAAGAGCCTTTTCTTACACGGAATAAAGATCAGCCTCTTTTCACCCACTGACGCTGGCACAAGGAATAAGCCTGTTCCTCCCTCACGGACAGTCACTCATTCGTTCGTCATCCGTGCCTCGACCAGCGTCTGTCGAGCACCCGTAACCTGCCAAGCTCCATTCCAGGTGCTAGAGATACAGCTGTGAACAAAACAGACCCGGTCCCTGGGCCGGCAGCTCGGAGGTGAACTGGGCAAACATACAAGGAGGCGATTACAAGTCCCCAGGAGGCAGGGCGGTGGGAGGCCGGAGGAGAGGGGCCGAACTCAACCCAGCTCAGCAGGCTTGCCAGACGGACCCTTGGGCTTGGGAGAGGGGGGTAGGTGTTGGGAGGGTGTGGAGGAGGAGGAGTGGCTCGGGGCCGAGGGAACAGCAAACCCTAGGGTCCAATGGGGAGCGGGGACCTCTGGACGACCGGCACATTCTTCCAGACGCGGATGCTGCTGGAGAGCGAGGGACACAGGAGGACGTGGAAGGCATCCAGAGGGCCTGTGCGGGCTACCTACGGTATGCGAAGGTGTCTGGAATGCTCTAGAGGTTCTCCCAAAGGCATCGAGGAATGCTTGAAGATACCGCCTCCTACGACCTTGCTCAAGCCGCTTTTCCTTCCCCACTCCCCATTCTCTCCTCGAATAATGGGAAACTCACACCCTCAGCTCTCTCGTCTTCCATTTGGGCCAGTTTGCACCAGAGTGGGAACCCTGGCCCCAGGCTTCTCTGAGGGGTCCTGAGGTGACAGATTGAGGTGTACGAAGCTGACACAGAAGAGGGTCACCCCCCTCCTCACTGGTGTCCCCACAGATCCCCACCCCCACCCCGGGCTCTTCTCGCAAGCACAAGGGCCACGTCCCTTCCCTTCCCGTCACCCTTGGCGAGGCCAGCCAGGCTTGCGTGGTCAGCCTCCCCCTGCTCACGTGCCTTCCTCTCGTCCCCACCACTTTCCCGCCAGGCTGGCTGTCTTCATTTTCCCTGGGGGTCTTTGCACATGCTGTTCCCTCTTCCTGGAATGCTCTTCCCCACTCCCTTCCCCCTTTGCAGACTGGCTCCTGGATGGCCTTCAGATGTCGGCGAAGCTGCCTTTGCAACGTGGCTCACAACTTGTCATAATTTTTTGTTTGTTTCCGTTTACCGTCTGTCCCCTCACGCGCACACAGGAGACCGTGAGTTCTCGCCCCGGCTCCCCAGCATCTAGAACCGCGCCCAGCACGGAGAGGCACCCAGCAGACCTGCGCTGAAGGAATAAATGAAGTTTTAAAACTTCCCGAGCCACGTTCTCCTCGTGTTTAAAGTGGCCATGGTGGTGTCCCCCCTCCCCACCAGGGCTTTCAGGGGGACGAATGTAGAGTTCTCGGAGTGAGCTCGAGCTGGTGGGGACTGTGCGGTGGCCGCCAGCCCTCAGGTCCCCCCCTCCCCCCGTGACACCTAGCAGGACGCGGAGAGGGAAATTCCGGGTGCGCACCTGGGCCACAGCTCGGCCCCCTTTACAGAGGACGCGCTGCCGTGAGGCTGACAGCACCTGAGCTCCACCCAGCTCTCAGCGAGCCGAGAGGGACGAGAGACGAAGACGATGACATGGCCCCTGTCCGACGGAGGGCCAGCCCCACACCTGCCCTCAGCTTCCGCCCTCAGTCTCTGTGGCTGCTGCAGGGACAGCTCTGTGATTCCAGAACCGGGACTGGTGCAGAAAAGCGTCGCTTAAATATAAAGCAAGACAGGAGAGCTCATTTATGCTGAGGCGACGGTATTTTCCCAAGCTGCCTGCAGGACAGAACAATAAAAAATGTATCCTTAATAGCATTGTGCTGAATTTTGCCACAGGAGATCGCTTTGCCGCCACCGGAGTTTGGAAAGGTTCTTGTCTGCCGTGCACATCTCCTTCCCCAGCCAGCCTCCGGCCTCCCCGCCTCCTCGGGGGACCCTTCGCAGCCAGCCTGCCTCCTTCTCTTCCTGCCTCCACCCCAGGGACACGTCTGGACACTGGTCACTCCGCCCCACGGGGCTCCAGCTCCGGGAAGGGGGAGAAAAAAACCAGATAGTCCATAATCAGATTCTTCTTCCTTCCCCCCCCCCCCCCCCGGTAGACGTGTGAGAAGGCAGAAAAAAGAGGGCAAAGCAAATCCAAGCAGTCGGTAAACTTAATTTCCTAAAAACAAGCGTAAGAAAAGATGCTAAACCCTGGGGGTGCGGGCGGCAGGGGGAGGCAGGTCGCGGAGCAAACCCCAGAACGGTATATGATGTGGAGGAAAAACGGTCACTCACTCAAAGATCAACATCTATTCAGGAAGGCATTTTATATAAATGCATCAAGAAAAATCTGGAAGGCTGCCCTTCAAATTTTTCACGGTGGTTTCTCTAGGATGGGACCTGACCTGGGAGAAAGGGAACAGGATGTCCACACATCCCTCACTGCTTATATTTCTTACAAGGAACCTCTTTTTTTTTTTTTTTTAATTAAACACATTAAAAGAGAACCTCCCCTCAGACTAAAACATTAAATTTAAACAGTGTTATACCGGGGCGCCTCGGTGGCTCAGTCGGTTAAGCAGCCGACTTGGCTCAGGTCACGATCTCGCGGTCCGGGAGTTCGAGCCCCGCGTCGGGCTCTGTGCTGACGGCTCAGAGCCTGGAGCCTGCTTCAGATTCTGTGTCTCCCTCTCTCTGACCGTCCCCTGTTCATGCTCGGTCTCTCCCTGTCTCAAAAATAAATAAAACGTTAAAAAAGATTAAAAAAAAAACCACAGTGTTATATCATCCGTTGACGGCTATGTGGGGAATCGCCGTCCACGCCAGTAAAACATGTATTGATGCAGTCACTTTGGAAGATGAATCTTCAGCATCTGGGAGGAAGTTCCAGCAGTCAGCACCTCCGTTTTTTCGAGGGGTTGGGCAGTGAAGGCGGGGCTGTTTATAACAGCACCAACGGACCCTTCCAAGTCCCTCGGTAGGGGACTGGCAAAATAAACCATGGGGTGTCCACGCCGGGACCTCCGGTGCAGCCTTTAAAAGCGCGAAGCAGAGGTACAGGTCCTGACGCAGAAAGTTCTCCACGACAAGAGCATTCCAGAACGATCCTCACAATAGGACACACCATGGGCTCTCTATGAGCACAGGGGTGGGGGGGGGGGGGGAAGCACAGAAACAGCCCCGGGAGGAAATACACCAGCACGATCCCCGTGGGCGGTGGCCACCGCGCGGCTCTCTAGGTCTTTCTGACCCAGCCCGCTTCCCCGGCCGCCTTGAAGTTGGGCAGGGTCATGTGACCGTTCCTGGCCAATCAGGGTGAGCAGGTGGTCCTGGGGCCGCCTCCAGGCCGCTTGCCAACTGATACGGGGCCCTCTCTCCGAGCTCTTGGGCGCCGGCACGACAGCCAGTCACATTGGAGGTGGCGGCCCCTGCCAACGGCAGCGCACTGAGCAGATCCCACTCCCAACCCAGATGTACCTACAGCCTTCAGCCTCGCAGACCCAGATTCCTTGCGGTTACCCCCGTGTTTCCCAATGACGCCGTCTCCCCGACGGGTGCCCAGCGTCACCCCCAGGAAAAAGCTTAGGGGTGGGGCACTTGAGACAAAGGGCACCTGCCCGCCTGCCCGCCCCTGTTGGCTCCGGTTCCCTGCCTCCACCCAGGGCTGCCTCCTCACGGTTCCCAGTAAGCACCACGTGACTGAGAGCAAGGCCTGGTCCTCGACGGCATCCCAGGGCCAAGCACTCAGTAGGGGCTCAGTCCACATCGGCGGCAGGAAATCAACGACAAGAATTCTCAGAAACTTTGGTCCTGGATGAAGGCAGAACACCCCCCCGGCCCCTCCCCCCCCCCCCCCCCCCCCCCCCCGCCACCACCCATGACGATTCTTTCTCTCACGGTGGCAGAGGGTGCTGGCCGCCTCCCCGTAGCCACGTTCCTGGCCTCCCTCCGGAGCAAGCGAACCCTCGGCTAGTGGACCACGTGCCCCAGCCGCCCTTGCAGCTCAAGCGACACGAGGTGAGTCTGAACACTGCGATTGTAACTTGGGGAGGAGGGGCTCCTCGAGGGGGAGATGGGCGGCGGCGGGTGCCCCTTTCCGCCCTGTCCCCTGTCCTTAACCAGGTTCCTCCCACAAGCCGACTCCTGAGTCGAAAACTCAATGCGAATGAAGTTTTTCAGGGTCAAGGTCATGCGGTGTGGAGGTGAGTCCAAGGAAGGGAGCCAGCACAGGGCACGTGGATGAGCAGGCTACAGCTGGGGGCAGTCGGAGCTCAGCCCCGCTGGACCTTTGGTCCAGAGCATGCCTCTCGGATTCCAGCCTCCCCCCCCCCACGCCACCCCCCACCCGAGAGGCGAGGACTGGGGTGTGGACCCACTCTCAGATATTCACTGGCTCTCATTCACCATAAAGGGTGGTTTCCAGGCCACTCCCAGCTCACCCCCCAACCCCCACCAGCCGGGAGCAAACCTTCTGGCAAAGTCACAGGGGGCTTGCTTGCACGCCCTCAGCAGGTGCAAGAATAGTTGGAGTCCACAGCAGCTGTTGCACACCCAGCCCCCTTCTTCCTGCCTGGAACACGGACGTGTTGTCCGGAGTTCCGGCAGCCACATTAGACCAGAAGGCAAAGGGGAATGGAGCTGTGAGCTCGCCCTCTGCGGGCTGCGCGGTGCCTTATGAAATCAGAGCACAGAGGACCGGCGCGGAGATGCGCAGAGGCCTCCCGTCCGTGACGGACTGGGCCTGCATCCGGCTCTGCCACTTCCCAGCCGTGCAAGCCGAACGCGTGACTTCAGTTCTTGGTTTTCTCATCTGTGAAGGGACAATAATGCCCACGCCGACCTCATCAGGGTTCTTGTCCACTTTTTCAACAAATAGTTACCGGGCACCTGCTGTACTACACGCTGGGCCCTGTGCTATTTCTGAGGAAACAGCCGGGAGGAAATAAAACCAACAAGCTGTCCCCCCCTCCCCACCCGGCCCAAGGCAGCACAGTCTGGGGAGGGGGCAGGCATCCGCCACATTGCCAAATGCACAAATATCAAAGTGTGATTGTGACAAAGGCCACACACAAAGACCTGTGATAGAAGTTTGACCTTGTCACATGCAAAGGTCCTGTGGTTGAAATGATTCAGCATGATAAACAATGCCAGTACACACTGAATGAGAGCGTTACTAGTATTTCCTTGAACCGATGCCAGGAAACATTTGAATCAGCTGAGAAACTTCTCCCTCTCTCTCTCTCTCTCTCTCATTTTTTAATTTTTTTTTACATTTATTTATTTTTGAGAGAGCCCAAGTAGGGGAGGGGCAGAGAGAGAGGGAGACACAAAATCCGGAGCAGGCTCCAGGCTCCCAGCTGTCAGCACCGGAGCCCGACACGGGGCTCGAATTCACGAACCGTGGGATCATGACCTGAGCCGAAGTCCCACGCTCAACCGACTGAGCCCCCCAGGCGCCCTGAGAAACGTCTCTTGTCGCGACTCGGCACGCCACAACTCTGGCTTTGTCTTCCAGCGCGGGGTCTGCCTGTGAAGAGAAATGGGCTGGTCGCTCATTCTTGTTTTTGTTTTTGGTTTTTCAATACTCGAGTTTGTCAACATACAGCGTGGCCCTGGTTTCAGGAGTAGAGCCCAGGGATTCATCCCTTCCGGACGACGCCCAGCGCTCATCCCGACCCGTGCCCTCCTGAATGCCCCTCCCCCATCCGGCCCCTCCCCCACCCGCCTCCCCTCCGGCACCCCTCAGTTTGTTCTCTGTATTTAAGGGCCTCTCGTGGTTTTTCTCCGCCTCTGTTTTTATCTTCTGTGTCCTTCCCTTCCCCTAGGTTCATCTGTTGATTCACTCCTTCTCCTTGATAGGTGTTTCTTATCCTAAACAAACGTGGCTGGCATTCCCGTCTGATAGAAGCTTCTGGTTAAGATGCGACAGGCCCGAGCTCTGCAGGCTGGTGCCAGGAGGTTTCCCCCGCAGCCCCCCCCCCCCCAGGCACTGGCGCCCCTGCCTTATCCTGAGCTCGCCCGGCACGCCTGTGCGGAGGGGGGGGAAGCCAGCCAGACTTTTGCAAGGGGACACTTTTTTTTTTTCTCTCGTTGAAGTTATTATGAGGATCAGAAATGGGGGCTTGGGATGTTTCCTTCGAAGCTTTTCCCAGATCCCAGAGAGTTTTAGGCAAACCCAGGGCTCCAGGAAGCCACTGGGCGCCTGCACTTTTCCAGACATCAGCTGAAGGGGCGCAAACATCCTGAAACCTAATGTAAACTTGGCATTCGGAGTCTCCACGTGAAACGGGAGGCCGGC